TTCTAATTTTTCCAGTTTAGGGTTTCAGGGTTTAGGGTTGAGGGTTGAGGGTTTTGTAAGGGTTTAGGGTTTAAGCTTTAGGGTTTCTTGCGGGTTTAGTGTTTAGGTCTTTTGAGGTTAAGGGGTTTTTAGGGTTCAGGCTTCAGTGGTATTTTGGAGTTTAGGCCTTAATCAATTTTCGGGTTTAGGTTCCACGGGTTTTAGAGTTTAAGATTTAGGGCTTTTTAGGGTTCAGGGTTTAGCGTTTTTCAGGGTTCAGGATTTAGGGCTCTTTAGGGTATGTGTTGCTAGGGTTTACGGCTTAGGGGGTTTTAGGGTTTAGGTTTTTTGGGGTTTGAGGGTCAGGAGTTTTAGGGTTGAGGGCTAGGGGTTTTTAGACGTTTAGGGTTTAGGTTTTCAAAGTTAAGGGCTTAGGGTTTTTTTAGGGCTTAGGATATAGGGGGTAGGAGGTTTTTAGGGTTTACGGCCTTTTTCGGTTGTTTAGGGTGTTGGGTTTGTTTCGGGTTAGGATTTCGGGTTTAGGGTTTAGGGGTTTTTAGGGTGTCGGGCTCAGGTTTTTTTTAGGATTTTAAGGTCTTCTAGGTTTTAGGTTTAGGGGATTTGAGGGTTTAGATTAAGGGTTTTTTAGGGTCTAGGGCTTAGGGGTTTTTTGGGCGTGGGGACCTCACTGCAAGGGATCGGGGCCTATCGCGGCCGAAATAGCGGGGGATCACACGCATGCTGGGTTCAAAAATACAAGCGGGGGGGGGGGGGGGTTGGCGGGGGGGCAGCCCCCCCCACATTTACAAACACATGATGGGTTCGAAAAGCAACAAAAATTCTGAAGCTTGCACGGCTTAACAAGGGGGGGGGGGTTTGGGGCAGCCCCCCTCCCACTTGCAAATGCTCGTTCTCGACCTTCTATATCTCCGTTCACATCTCTAAACAATACACATGTCGGGTCGCTTCAGAAATACATCTCTTAACGTTTCGTTGTAGAGGTTAACCTTTCTGTGCACTCAGTCTCTGTCTGACTCGTGTGTGCTCGGTTTTCTGACTCACGCCTTTCTGCTTCTGACTCGGTCCTCCCGGTTTTCTGACTTGGTCCTGCGCGTTGTCGACTCGTTTTCCCGACTCGACGGTCACCCCTGGTCCCTCGCTCTCCTGGTCCTCCAGTCTGCGGTCCCTCAACCCGCCACGCTTCGAGTGTTTAAGTCATGCAAGCTGCAAGCTTACCCAAAGGCGCCAAACATGGTAAGTACACTTCTTGGGCGTTGAATGCTGAAAGTTGCAGTGTTTTCCTCGTTTGCAACTCTAGAGATTTTGCGAAACAATGCCAAAAACGTGCTAATCACACAATTTAGGTACGTTGGCCAGCTTGACAAAGCTCCAAATCCTAGCAACTGCAGTAGTGATCTTGGGGCTACTTGGCTGTCAACGGGTTGCACACGATAAACGTTACAAGATGCGAGGGTATTCAGCAAGCTACAAGCTGCAGACACTGGAGATTGCGGTGTTCGCGGTTATTCCAGGGCTGTAGCCTGTTGTCCGCATTTAGCGCTTTCAAGTCGGGTAACGTGCATGGAGGATGGACATGCGGAAAACTTCAGTTTACAGTGTTCAGAAACCGTGAGCAGCCAACTGGTCGAGCCAAACTTAGGAAAATAGCAAGAGTTAAGACAAAAACAGTCTTAGTCGCCTTCGCCCCACAGAGCCCCCAAACAATCCCCAGACCCTGAAACGCCGGGCAAGCTGTCTTTATAGATGGGGCCAGAACTCAACAGTGTCCGACAGTATGATGTGTGAGGGTATGTATCTCCAGCTTAGGTTTTTGATTCGGTTTGTCTCGAATCATTTCAGCCAGCCAAGCGGTTGGCTTCTGGATGTTGTGCGCCGCTCGGAATGACACTTCTCTGAAAGGGCTTACTGCTAGCAGCTGTTACTTTGCTGACATGAACAGGCTGAAGACCACTCCCAGTGCCCCATGTCTCGGTATGTCATCGTGCGGAAAGGCGGCTGCAGCTTCATAGAGCTTCGACGTTTCGTGTAGTTTTGGCTCATTTGGAGATGATGATGGTCTTCCTCCCGCAGAGTGCTCTTCTTAAATGCGCTTTGCACGAAGAGAGGGAGCGAGAGAGAGAGAGAGAGAGGCCCGAAAGTGCGCAGAAGAAGAAGAAGAAGAAGAAGAAGAAGAAGAAGAAGAAGAAGAAGAAGAAGAAGAAGAAGAAGAAGAAGACGAAGAAGAAGAAGAAGAAGAAGAAGAAGAAGAAGAAGAAGAAGAAGAAGAAGAAGAAGAAGAAGAAGAAGAAGAAGAATAAGAAGAAGAATAATAAGAATAATAAGAAGAATAAGAAGATGAAGATGAAGAAGAGGAGGAGGAGGAGGAGGAGGAGAGAGAGAGAGGCAGAGAAGATGGAAAGAGCGCCATATGCATGGGGGTTGTGGATGCTGTGAGGTGGGTCATCGAGCCACAGAATGTCAACGACCAGTCACCAGGTACCTCGACACAGTGGCAGACGATGGGAGACGTGTTTAGCCAGGTAGTTTCACTCCCTGTGTATTGAGGTTTGAAGCAGGTCTACAGGCTCCGTTTGGCTGCCGGAGTTCCTAGTACCATAAAGCCCCCCAAAAACCATGGGAAACGAAATGAAGCGAGCCAACGGCCAAAGGTTGGTCCGCCAGAAGCAATTGGCTGGTATCTCAACGTCTGCAGCAAGCCACCTCCCGAGACTCTTTGGCATGATGCGTTGTGTGTCGTTTTTTCCCCACATCTTGATGTGGGGTTCTTACTTTTGGGGCTGTCCCGCCTCCTCCTCACTCCTCGCTCCTCGCTCCTCGCTCCTCCTCCTCTTCGCTCCTCCTCCCTCCTCCTCCTTGTCCTCCTCCATGCACGCACACCATACGCACCACACACCATGCACCTTACGCACCATGCACCTTCTCCTCATCCATGCACGCACCATACAGCATGCGCACCATGCATTCACCAGACGCCATGCGCACCACGCACCATGCACCTTCTCCTCCTCCATGCACGCGCCATACACCAGGCCATACGCACCACGCACCACACACCACACTCCACACACGCACTATGCACCTTCTCCTCATCCATGCACGCACGATACACCATACGCACCACGCACCATGCACCTTCTCCTCCTCCATGCACGCGCCATACACCACGCCATACGCACCACGCACCACGCACCACAAGCGCGCGCTCCTCGGGAACGTTGGCAGGCGCGACATTTGGGGGCCCTAGACCTTTGAAACGTTGGCAGGCGCGACATTTCAGGGGCCCTGGGGCCTTGGACCGGTGCCGCGCGCGCCTCGGGAACGTTGGCAGGCGCGACATTTGGGGGCCCTGGAGCGCGCAGGCGCGACATTTAGGGGCCCTGCAACTCTGAAACGTTGGCGGGCGCGACATTTAGGGGCCCTGGGGCCCAGGACTGGTGCCGCTCGGAACGTTGGCAGGTGCGACATTCAGGGGCCCTGGACCTGTGCAACGTTGGCAGGCACCCTAAACCCTAAACCCTAAACTCTGAACCCTAAACCCTCAACCCTAAACCCTCAACCCTCAACCCCTAAACCCCTAAACCCCGAACCCCTAAACCCCTAAACCCCTAAACCCCTAAACCCCTAAACCCCTAAACCCCTAAACCCCTAAACCCCTAAACCCCTAAACCCCTAAACCCCGTCCTTAGGACGGGGTGGGCTCATTCTTGGTGGGTTAAAACTGCTGAACCGGAGCTGTGGTTCGAAGTTGCTGAAGTGCTCAAACGCAAACCTGGCCCCTGGCGAATACACCATGTTAAATCCCATCGGGATCCCCGCCTATGTACTACGCAGTATGACATGTGGACTGCCTGCCACAACAATGCTGCCGATGAGGCGGCAAAAAGCGCGCATGTGCAAGATGCAGCTACACTTTCATTGCTTCAAAAGGCACGGCGGACCTTGACGGAGCAAATCCTCCAAGCAAAACTGGTTTTCCAGTTGCAAGAGCAGGTCCTGTGCAGTGCAACCCTCAACTCAAAAAGCCCCAGCATGCCAGCCAGGCAAGAACAATCCAGGTGTGAAGTGCCTGCTTGTCCTCCATTGCTGCCGGCATCCCCCTTTTCGGTTCAGGGCTTAGGTGGGGTTGAAGTGTCTTGCGCTTTGCTTGGACCTCGGTTCTGCCAGGTTTTCCGTGAGTACTGTTTGGAGCAGTCTTGGTGCAAAACCGAATCTTGGGTTAGTCTCTTAGAGCTCTATTTGCATTTTGTGAGGGTTACTGGTTGGTTATCCCCAGTGAACGTGGCCAGCTGGAAGCCTCAACAACTGCCTCTTGGGCTGGTCGCTGACGTACCCGCTTGTTTTGTGCATGAAACGGAGTATCCCCAGCTGAAAATGTGCAGACCTTTGCTTTCCAAGCAGCTAAATGTGTTTGGAAGCATCGTACGGTTCATGTTCAAAGAAGCTGCCATTGATTTCCCAATGTCCCGGACCAAGTCCCTTGCTCATTGGGGTGTTAACGAAGAGGTCCCGTCGATTTGCATTGCCCCTTGTACAGTGCGGGCTGATGCCGGGAAGCTGTCAGATATTTTTTGGGCACACAGACGGTACAGTCGGGCGCTGGCTATTCCCTTTCAGCCTCCCCGAGATCCTGTTGATTGTCCAACACCTTTTGTTAGTCCCAAGGTCACGTGGGCTCGGTATTACGCTCGGCGTAGACTGGCCCGTAATTCATAATTAACTCAACGAGGAGAGAGCTTGGAGCAGGGATCCGTGCGTCTGTCTCGCCTGGATCGTCCGACGACCGCTTCATAAACCCCTAAACCCCTAAACCCCTAAACCCCTAAACCCCTAAACCTTTTTCCACTGTGCTTCGCCAACTTGCGCACATGTGCGGGGTGCAGATTCAGTTCGTTCAGCTACCTTCTCTGAGGGCCTTGAATGTCCAATATGCTGTACAGAGCATTTCGGTAAGACCCAGACGTTCCCTTGATAGTTCCTTTCTGTGTACAGCAAGACGCGTCATGGGAGGGCGCTCCTTGCGAAAGTTCGCTCAGCTCCCCTTTGCTCCCATGCGTTCTGTTCATGTTTCCACTCCATATGTTGTGCCAAATTTTGTGGCGCTGTGGTTAGCCCATCGCCGTGCCCGCAGACAGGCAAGTGATGGCTGACTCACTTAATTCTGAATTGGAATCCGTTTAGTCGCCAAGTGTCTCGCTTCGTGACAGTCCGCATGACCGATTGCATAAACCCTAAACCCTAAACCCTCAACCCTAAACCCTAAACCCTAAGCCCACACGCACTCACTCACACTCAAGCACTCACTCGCTCACTCGCTCACTCGCTCACTCGCTCACCCTCTCACTCATATTCACTTCTACACTCTTTGTGAATAGATGACTTTGCATGTGGGGTTATCCGGTCCTTTAATTTGTTTTTTTTTTCGTTTGCCAACTGTTTAGGTTTTTTTTGTGAAGCTGGGAGGACCGATTGTTGAGTGAAAGTGTAAGGCCTTCAGATCGACGAACGCCCGATTCCACGTACTTGCACGTGCGAGGCTATGAACACAAGAGCGTTCAAGGAGAGCAGCAGAGTAGCAAGGACAGCATTGTTTTGTCACACTGTGTGGTCATGGTGATATCTGATTCAAGGTGTGCCCAACAAGCTTTGCAACCTGGCTCCTGGAAGTGCAGAAGGCTCTCGCTGTTTTTCAAGCTCCGTTCATTGTTAGTGCTCTCACTTTGTGAACTTTCAGGCCAGCTTTGTACAGAACCTGGCTCTGCGTCAGGAGCGTTTTTACGAGGCCCCGCATCTCAAAACAGATTCGGAGAACTGCTGACCGGCATGGCCCCATGTTTTCTCACTGCTCGGACTCAGGTTGTAGTGTGCAATCTATCTGGAAGGCTGATATGCCGTGGGCAGTTGAAATCAGTAAGATGCAGTTTCGGTTCGAATTTGAGTTCTATTGTTTATCGTTGGCCATGAACCACACGCAGGCCACTGGTCCTCCAAGGGTGCCGAGATCCAGCAGCACGAAAATCGACTGCAGGAAGTTTTCTGCGGCTGGTGACAGAGATCGCCCCGTTGGAAGGCCAGGTTAATCGGTGAATTCTTCCTAAACCCTGAGCATCCCATATGAATGTCATCGAGTCTTGTTGGTGCTCTTGCACAGGTGCAGCAGATGGTGTTGATGCTGTTGCGGAGCTTGCACCCCGGTATGGCATCCGGCATGGGGGGCATTCGCCATAAAGGCTTTAGGGTGATTCTAGTGCACGGCATGTGTGGAATGCTGTCGATGCAAGACGCCCAGGCGCCTGCTCCTGCACAACCCCGTGACTCACCCCTCTCCGGCGGTTCAGGCGTGCGGTTCTACTTCGGGTGGCTATAAATGGCTAATGCAGCAGTGAATTCGAGTCTTTCTTCTGTTGAAAAGTCTTGTGGATTCTCTTTATGTTCGTTTTGTACACCGCGGAGGCACGGTTTCAGCACCACGGCAGCTGCGGGGATCTTCTGGAGTTCTCCGTGACGTATTTGACCACAGAAGGCACATGCTTTATGCAACTTTCTACTAGTTCTACAGTGCCAAGAGCATGTGTAAGGCAAGCGTGAAGTCGAGCTGCCATTTCTGCTGTCAGATGCTGTGTCGATATGCCGCGTCCACGCATGTTGTGTTGGCTCAGACTACTCAGGGGGGAGTCTACACGACCTTAACATTCTGGATGGGTGGAAGGTCATACAAGATCATCTCATTCCTCGCCTTGCTTGCCACAAGCATTGCTGGATTTGAGACATTTGTGCCCTGGTTTTGGCTTGGAGCGGTTCCTCTCATCCGCCGCTGTGCTCAAATGGCAGGCCTCATCTGTCGGACTTTGCAGCATCTTGCACCATTTTTGGACCCTTCGCCAAATACGTCGTGCAACACCTGCGCTCTCTCTCCCTCTCTCTCTGGCGCTCTCGCTGTCTGTATGCTCTCTCTCTCTCTATATGCTCTCTCTCTCTATATGCTCTCGATGCTCAGCGAGGGGGTCCAGGGTCTTGTTCGTGAAGCTTTGTGGTGCCTTGTCATGCGGCTGATCTTGTTCTTGTTTCGATCGTTCTGCAGGTGATGATCATGCAGGTTGCTCACAGGCCCCTGCGGAGCCCGGATCCAAGCTTGACAGACTCTAAATATAACCCTTTACCCCATGAAGAGACCGTTGATGCACAGCTTCAAAAATGACAAGTATGTAAACTGTAAACTTGCCTTCGAAGGCCGCGTGTCTTGATCATAGCGACCGGTGGAACGATTGACAAGGCAGGAGAACCGGAGAACGTTAAACTTCGCCGTTGTTGCTCAATCCGCTTATCCTGGCATTCGTGCATCTCTGGGACCCTTCCGACTTGTCGCTCTCCTGCGACAAGACTTCTTCAGGGCCTCTCTTAGGGCCTAAGGGCAAGTTTGTGTTCTGCTTCAAAGTGCAAAGAGCTACTGGATGCTCCGGGAGGCGTATCCTCGCGTGACAGGGGGTTGGGGCTTTGAGATTGGAGAGCCAGCTGCCACTCGGAGCCTAGCTCTGCATGTAACCCCAAGGCTTATTTGTTGAATCATGATCTCTGAATTATGTGGAGACACATGCTGTGTCGCTTCAGAACTATTAGTGGCTAAGGATTTTAGACCGCATATCTCCGGCAGGCAGGGTTTCGCAGCCGTGTGACTTTAGGTCATGTCTTTGCTGTTTTTTGCTATCCATTGCAATATGGCGGCAAAAGAACGGTGTCACTCTGTCCATTGCTCTATGTTGCTCTCAAGGCTCTGTTGCCCCACCCGCATGCTACTTTGCGTTGCTCCACTCCTCCACTCAGCTCCCAGGATGTCCCTTGATTGTACCAACATGTCGTTAGCAGTTCAAGAACTTTTGACAGGCTCAAGTACGTGCCGCAGTGGCTTACTTGGTACACTCCAGCATGCACATCCTCCGTGAACGTCCCGCAACATTCTACAGCACTTGTTCTTGGTGCTCGTAGCATCTCATAACTATGATCATTTCTCCGCTGGCGCGCTTTGCGCCCAGTCGTGCAACATGAGAAAGATTGGGCATGAGAAACCTTACGTCTGGCTTTTGGGATGAGTAGTTTGACCTTGGATCTCTGCGCTGAGATCAAGTCGGGGGAGGGAACCCGGCCTCCTTCGGTTTGAGTTGATTGAGTTGTGGGCAGGCGCCGAGTAAGAAAGGAACGGTTTAGTGGTACTGGCATCGCCTCCGACTTCTGGTTGCTTCTTGGTAATTTCTTGGGATAAGCGCCTCGTTCACCGTTCCTTCACCGGCCTCTTCAACAAGAGGCGGTTCGGTCCGCTCCCGGATGCCATTCCAGGCAGTCCACCACGTTAGAGGTGCGCGTTTTCCCCCTGCCACTCCATGCGACCAGGGAAATATAGGTAAATTATGAAATCATGTAAGCTGCTCTGAATTCTCCTGGCGCGTGTGAGGGTTGGTTACCGAATTCCCCGGATACGAACATGTCTATGCAGGCCTTGAGACTCGGGCGCGCACGGCACGCAGGGTGCGGCGGGGCTTGGCGAAGAAGAAATCACCTCAACAGCCTGGCCACACGTGATGATGCTGGCTGCTCTCAAGCACAGACCGAACATCTTACTTACCCCTGCGCCACTGTACCACTGCACCACCCACTCCATGAAACACAAGTTACCAAGTTAGATGGATTGTAACCACTGGCGTGAAACGTGGGCATCTGGGTAGTGTGTGTATAATGCGTGCCTGCACCTTTAAGCTGCCTGCAGTTGCAATACACATACTGGAGTGGCTTTCACTTTAAAGCTTAAAGTGTATTCGTCCCAACATGTCAATCAGGCTTTATGCTTATCGAAAGGTCATGGCTGCTTAGGGGCTGTTTTGTTGGGCTGTACAAGGTTTGAGCTTTCAATGATATGCAAGAAGAAAACTTTGCAGCATCGTGTTCAGGATTCAGCTTCGAGGTCCAGAGCGTGTGCGCCAAAGATTCACAGGCACTTGAGGGTTCAAAAACGTTCAAAAACTTCCCATTGGAAAGCCCAAGCTCCGGCAGAATTTCGGTGAGATCCACTTGCAGGAGATCTCAGAGGCAGATCGGCTGAGCATCTTGAAAGCTTGCGAGGTCCGGACCCTCAAGTGACGGCATGTGACGGCTGTGTATCACTGTATATCACTGTGTATCGCTGTGTATCGCTGTGCTGCCTCGGGAGGGTCTCGTGGAAGGAAAGGTTAGGGAGTTTTCGTCAAGTCGGGATGAAATGCTTGAAGACCGAGCCCTTGATGGCTTTCTTCTTGTAAACGCTGCATGGAACACGTTGGAATGCCTTCGAATGCTTTTGGTGTCAGAGTCCAGGCTTTCCGGACCTCTTGGGCTGAGGGGGGGGGGTCCCCAGGGGCGAACCTTAATGGTCTCGAGGGGCTCTGAGGCGGATGTTTTCGGTGCTCTCTACAGTGTCTAGCAATCAAAAACAATGACGAGGAGGTAGTGGAGGTGTGTGAAGGATTGTGAAGGTGTGTGGAGGTTCTTGGCGGCTTGAGCAGTTCCTTGAAGGGCTCGGCAAGGGCTTGGCGTTTCGAAAGGTCACGCGCAGCAGCGGATTTTTGCCCTTGAGATACTTTGAAGATCTCTGAAGCTGTTTTCAGGACTGGTCTGGTGATCAGGTCATCATTACCCACGGCACGGACACTTTGATAGAGACAGCGTGCTTTCTGGGCAAGCATGCAGGACCGTCCTCGGATCCTGCTACGACAGTTCTGAATTTCATGGTAGCGCGGATGTAATTTTAACGCTACGCGACCCGCCTCGGCCCAGCGCATCCGCGTGAGCATGGTGATTCCGCAGCGCCCAAGTCGCTGGACCCCAAGCAATAAGGGTTGAGGGTTGAGGGTTGAGGGTTGAGGGTTCCGGGTTTATGGTTTATGGTTTGGGGTTTGGGGTTGAGGGTTAGTTTAGGGCTCAAGGTTCACGCTTTGGGGTTGAGGGTTTTTTTGGGTTTAGGGTTCGGCTTGGAGTGGGAGGGGAGGTGGGGTGGGGGGAGGTCGGGGGGGGGGGGGGTGGGGGAGGGGGGTGGGGGAGGGGTGGGGGGGGGGTGGGGGGGGGGGGGGGGGGGGGGGGGGGAGGGTGGGGGGGGGAGGGGGGGGGGGGGGGGGGGGGGGTGGGGGGGGGGGGGGGGGGGGAGGGGGGGGGGGGGGGGGGGGGAGGGGGGGGGGGGGGGGGTGGGGTGGGGGGGGCTGGGAAAGGGGGCCGAAAAAGGGCGGGGAGGATTTGGAGGGGGGTGTTCTGACAACCTATACACCTCCGGCCCGAGGCCTCGGCGGATTTAGTTCCAGTTTTTTCACTTGAGCTTCTGTTCGAGGAAAGCTGGCCACCAAGTGCATTTGCCTGACGGGCGCAATGCTTCCAGAGAAGTTCGTGGATACAGACGCTCATTTCAACATGGGCTTCTTGGCATAACCTCAAGTCAATGCTTCCTAAACTTTGTGTGCTCGTGTGCTATCCTTTATTGTGAGGTGTTTGTTTCGGCGCATTGAACACTGCGATGCCTGGCATTTATGCTTCTGAGCATGATATTTCTGAACCATTTTTTCTTTTCGACAAGCTGCGAAGAATGCACTGGCATGACTGCTGGACTTCAAAGGTGTGCATGAATGGTCGGGTCCGCGAGTGGACCTCTGTGGGACGTGATTTGCGGTCTGGTGCATTCGCTGAAGTTCAAGACTCTGCACATTGATCTCCAAGATGGACAAGGTGTGCAGGTCTGCACGACTGCTGACACTGGATGGCTTCTTCAACCTGGACGGCTTTCGGCGCATCAACGGAGGAGACAAAGGAGCACGTGTTGGAACAATGCACTTCAAGACGTCAAAGCTTTTGGGAGATGAAACGCCCCCGGCGCGTGACTGGTCTCGTTGACAAATCAGATACATGACCGAATCATCACTGAGGCATGCGCACAGCGAGGCAACAAAAAACAGAACTGTCCTTGTACATTCTGCGATGACACTTATCTGCCCCAGGCTTCTTAAACGCAACGCTGTTTGCATCTATCCTTCCAGCAACAAGCAATGATTCTCACTGCCTTTGTCAGGTAGTGGGGTGAGCATCCGTGCGACTACCTCAGAACACTTTGTCGGTTTTTCATAGATCAGCAGCGAGTCCTTGCTGAGGTGAACGCCCATGACGCATCCACAATGCAGAGCTCTATTCACGTGGTTGGCCAGGCGGTCATGCTATGGTTTCCTGAAGACTGATGCTTGATGTTCGCCCAATGGAATTTCTTTTGACTTGATCTCTCTATTGTGGCTCTAAGAGTGCGGGCCGTGCTACAAGCAAACGATTCGAGTCCCGATCGCGAGTCGGCAAAAACACGCCCCCGAGTCAGAAATCTGGGAGTTGCGAGTCGGAAAATGGAAACTGCCGAATCAGAACAACCAGACGGAAAATGACAACTGGCTAGTTTATGTTCTCTGGGGTTTATGAAGCGGTCGCCGGACGATCCAGGCGAGACAGACGCACGGATCCCTGCTCCGCACTCTCTCCCTCGTTGAATTAATTATGAATTACGGGCCAGTCTACGTTGAGCGTAATACCGAGCCCACGTGACCTTGGGACTAACAAACGGTGTTGGACAACCAACAGGATCTCAGGGAGGCTGAAAGGGAATAGCCAGCGCGCGACTTTACCGTCTGTATGCCCCAAAAATATCCGCGAGCTTCCCGACATCAGCCCGCACTGTACAAGGGGCAATGCAATTTTTCGGGACCTCTTCGTTAACACCCTTGTTAGGGTTTGGGGTTTTAGGGTTTAGAGTTGTTCAGAGTTTAGGACTTTATTGCTTAGGGTTTTTCGGGTTTAGGGTCTTTAGGGTTTACTTCGATGGGGTTCTGCGTGTATTGTGTGGCCCTTCAGGGGTGGTGGAAAGCAGCAGTGCAAAACTGCCTCTATTTGCCAGTTTACGCCGGCTCGCATTCCGCTCCCGACGGTATGATCGTCCGCGGTCGCACCAGCCTGCAAAGCAGCTTTCCACCCTTGCCGTATCGTTCCTGTCTATGTTTGCTTTGCGGTCTTCCAGGGGGTCGACGGCATCATCCAGGCACGTGGCGCAGTGGCCCGGCGGTCTTGTTCGGTTGCGTTCTGGTCCCTAGCCGGAGGCTGGCTGTGTTGGCCAAACCGGCTGAGCCTTTGGAGGCAGTAGTGGCTCCGAACCTCATTTTGGCCCATAACGGGTGCAAGATCCTCCTGAACCTGACGATCCGGCCGCTAGCTCCGCGGTAGGGCTCCATCGCTGCCTTCAGTCAGTAATGTTGTTTCTTCCCAGTGCTGGGGGCACATAGTGGGTCGTTTTGAAGCACTGGTGATTGGCAGTGTCCGAGCGATGCACCCCGCTGACGTTGCACGCCATTTTTGTGCTGTGTGCACGATGCCCCATCACGAAAGCTCTTCAAGAACGAGTCGGGCCCGCCCGCTCGCAGGCCATCACTACGGTGGGGGACAGATCTCCAGCTTTGTCATCATGCCAGGGTCCAGGTGCTTGAGAGGTGGCCAAGCACAGATGAAGAGTGGGCAAGCTGGGCGCAGGAGCGAAAGCTCTCAGCGCGTGGCAGCCGGCCATCAACGTGAACCCAGGCGAGTGAAAGCTGGGAAGGCGACCCGCCTCAAAGGTTCGCGAACTGGCGTTTCTTCACAGGAATTGCTTAAGGCAGCCACGCTCACAATACAAACGGCGACCCCGATCCAAACCTGCCAGGCACGACGAGCCCACCCAAAAGATCCAAAGCCGAGGCCTCTCACCGGCGAGCTTATCGCTCATGAGTCCCTGCCAGACTTGGGGCTCCGGTGCTGGTGCGCTCACACAGCTTTCATAGCGGCCCCATGCCGACTCCCAAGAGCACGACACGTCAGCCAACCACACTGCGACACACTGCCGAGGCCAAGTCACATCGAGGCCTCAGATCCCGTTCCCATTTTCGTTTTCGAACCCGACTTTCTCGGCTCTCCAGGCTCTCCATATCTTCATGTCACAGGCAAGACACCCCAGACCAAGAACGAATGAGTGAGTGAGTGTGTTCATGAAGGAATGAATGAGTAGTGCTGCTGCTGCTGGTTGTCGTTGTCATGCGGTTGCGTGTCTTTCTGTTAGGTGGTGGTTGTTGTTCGTTGCTTGGCAGGACTTTGAAGTGACCTCCGTGCGCTTCTGACACATCGTCAGACACATCGTCGGGCACTCCTGCTGTCACACGCCTGCGCGAAACCAGGTGATGGAAGATGTGCCGCGGCTGCGCGTGAAGCGCCTGGCTCAGATGTAGATGTAAGGCTCCACAACCCGTACATCGCGTGTCGCCAGGCCACCCGAAGCTTATGCACAGACATCCTTAGGCGTGCGAGCTGCGCACAACATTGTGAATGTAGGAGCATGGCATAAACATCTTGCAGTGCTGGTAGCGACGTGTTTTGATCGGAAGGCGTTCACGCTGGACCTGGAATGTGCGAGCTTCTGCAAACACTCAGTGTGGGTGATCAGGCAGAAGCCACAACAAACCATTTTTTCCTGGCTTCTGTTATTGTTCGTGGACATCATTGGCAGGTCATGGCAGGCATGGGTCCGCGTCAAGGTCGCTGGCTCAAGCCGTGGCCTTACAGCAATGTTGAGTGTTGCTCCAACATTTGCCACGGATCGCTGTGGTTTGCTGAGTAAAAAGCTTTGTTGAGATTGGCATCCGCAATTCCCACATGCCGCGGGGTACATTCCCGTAGATCATGTTGGCGTCATCGTAATACGGCGTGGAAATCTCAGATGCCTTCGCACATAAGTTGCGGAAGTACACTTTCATGGAGCATATCTCATAGTGATTCATAGTGCATTTCAGCGCAGTTTGTTCAGGAAAGTAACTCTGTGTTTACTTCCAGAGCTCCGTTGCAAGTAGCCGAAGCACATGAAGGATTTTTCTTGCATTCGTTGTTGTATGCGGATCGAAAAATGTGTATATATGTTATATATGTGTATGTGCGTGAACGTCTGAGGCGCGTTCGAGTCTCACTTATCTTCCCAGTGCTTCCTTGACAAGTCCATGTAGAGTAGAGGCGAAATCGTGGTGGGCCTCCCCTGGGTCCCATCGGGGAAAAGGGAAGGCGCGCGGGCCACAGTTCGAGGAGGGGCTGGGGGCACTTATGAACATCGGAGAGGCGTCTCGGCCATTGCCGAGAATAACGTTGAATAGCAGAATAGCACTGAGAGGCAACTGCGTGAAAGCGGGCTGACAAACAGTGTGCCCTGTCTTTCAGGTATCAGGCTTGGCATCTCGTCAGATTGTGCAAATACCAGGAAAGAGCGGCGTCACACTAAAGGGTCGTTTGGTCAGTATTTTCTTCCGTGTGTGTTTTTCAGGTTGCTGTTCCCTGATCAGCACCTCAGTTTTTGGTAAACACATCACAGACGCCGTCCTACCCGATGCGGTGGAGGAGTAGTAGCTGCAGGTAGGATGGCTTGCATGTCTGCTTGAATTTCTGCAAGCGGTTGTAAGGATCACGCACCCTTTGGAAGGCTGGGTTCAGGTCCCTTCAGCTGCAATTTTGTTGCTTTCCTTGACGCATGTTAAAGTGGCTAAGATGCAGCAGGCTTCTACTCGAGACGGTCAAGGCATCCTTCGTGAAATGGTTGGTTGCAGGCGTGCCCTGCGATATGAGAACCTTTAAGCCTTGCGCTTCTGCTGTGCTTATGGTTCGCTCTTGCCACTCGAAGGCCGAATCTTCGACAGGATCCTGCCTCAGCTGCTCGCGCCATGAAATCTGCCTTTTCATAAAATCTGTAAAAAGCAGTACAAGCATGCCAGAAAGACTCCTTGTTGCAAGGTCGTCACTCTGCGGCCTTTGTTGGGGAGGTGGCCATGCCAGTGAAAGTACAGTCAACTGATGTCAACTTCACACTTCTTTTGCTCCGTGCGGTTGATGCAGGCAGAGACCCTTGCAATCGATGTCCGCGATGAAGGCGGCAGAGTTGCAAAACTAGCTTGTGCAAGAACCAGAACACACAAAACAGGAGTGACGGGTGTTTGTTGCTCTGCGTTCGTTGGAAACACACACACACACACGAGATCACTCGAGACACACTGACTGGTAAGTTGTTGTTAGTTGCTTTTGTGCTCTCCGAGCACTCTCCTTGCAGGAAGCTCCCAGCAGGGAGCTGGAGCATGCCCAGTTTAGGGCCACGGCCCCTTTCCCTTGCGCAGCTTGTGCACCTGTACACCATTCTTTTGTATTGAGCCGGCTGTCTGTGCAAAGAGGCCCGAGCTGCCGAAGCATGCCGCCTTTCTCGGGAAGTTGCTCGACTGGAAGCACGTGGGCTGGCAACTCAGTTTCCACAAAAAGCTCTGCGTTGACTCAACCTTCATGCCTTTGATTGAGCGCCTTTGCCTAGGCCATTGGGAACACCTCGGAAGAGCACACTGGGCGTTTTCTAGTCAAGTTTCACTTTGGCGTCCTGGTGCCGAATACCGGTATCTTGAGGACCATGCCCATCCACAAAGATGATCCTGCGACTGGCTGCTGCGACTTCCGCAGCTGCCACCGCCTCCGCATCCGCTGCTGCCGCTGCTGCCGCTGCTGCCGCTGCTGCCGCTGCTGCCGCTGCTGTTGTTGCAGCTGCAGGTGGCTGCCATAGCTATATCATGCTATATCTGTCTATCCGGGTTCCGGCTTCAGCTTCTACAGCCTCGCAACGGGCTTTGCTTGCGAGAGTAAGGCTGAGGCAGGGTTGCTGCAGTTCGAGCCATAGCCACTGGGAGCCCGACCATGCAGAGCCAATTCCCGGGCCCCAAGCACGCAGCTCTGCAGCCACCGGGATAGGCAGTAGTTTTTTCCTCTCACCTTTCCGCGGGATGAAAAGAATGGGCGCCGCTTCGTCCTCGGCCAGCGGCAGCACCCATCAGCAAGGTCATCAAGATGAGCGGTGATGTGGAAAATCAGCGCGAGCTCCAGGTCGCACCGCAGCTCGTGGAGCATCGTGTGAGGGCGCTTGGCAACTATCAGCTGCTGGGCGGGTCCGGCTTAGCAGAATGAACGGGAGGTTGCCATCCTGTGTCCCCATCCGAGCGACCGTCCAGCTGATGTGGGCATCGGTCAGGCATCGAGTCGGACACGAAGCTGGCCAACATAGGCCTCCACATCTCTCCCGAACCTTGTCGTACATTGATTTCTCCGTACAACCTTCTCGTCCGAACACCAACTTGAATGTCTGGAAGCGTAAGATCGCTTGACCACCGCAGCGGCCTACGCGGCCTGTTGCGACGTTATGGCACGAACGTTGTCTCATGTTGTTTCCACCTACGTACACTACTGAGCGTCGCCTCGCGATGGAGAAGGAGCCAAATGCCTCATCCGGACGATCGCAGGAGCCAGCCGCAAGCTGGAGCAGAGCCTGGATCCGAATTTCCCATCCTCCCGCTGCGCGGAGGCAGGGCGCCTAGAGCCCTGACGACCGCCGGAAAGAGCCGGCGTGGCGTGGGGCAGGTCGTCACAATGAGGGTGTGGGCCCATAGCCCAGACAGCCTCCCTCAGAATGGGCCCACTGCTTGGCCTCCCATTTGCAAACCCCTGAAAAGGGCGGCGCCAAGGGTCCACGAGTTCCTCTTGCCCCTCCTCCCGCTCGCCCACGCCAAACAATGACGAGTGGACGTCAAGCAGGAGGTCCAGTCCAGCTTCGACCAGCGCGCCGGGACGGGAGAAATCAGATTCAGGCGGTCTTCGTGGTGACCTTGTAACAGGGCCAGCGAGTGCCAGGCCGCATGCTGCTTAGCATAACCTTACATTGGCTCAGCTGCGTCGTCTCTTCCCCCACCTCGGTGCTCGCCGAATTGAAGAAATGAAGGTGGCGCGTTTGCTTGCGTCAGTTCGGCTTTTCAATCTCGTGAAGCATCCACAGCGTGGGCCGGGGCATGTGGTGGTCATCAGGGAAGCGGCAGGCACGAGCGACAAATCGCACAGATCGCGCCAATGTAGATGTGGCAGTCGTGAGGGCCAAAAATACGGAGCGTGGACGAGACGCCACGTCGTGAGGGGTGCGACGAACGAAGCGCCCTGCGCTTTCACTTTAGCGCAGGCCTGAAATAGTGGCAGGGGGGAGGGGGGGCCAAGGTGCTCGTCGGGGGCGGACATCTTTCGCACATTCAAGGATCTGTTTTGGAAAATTGGCCTTTGATCAGCTTTGTCTTTGGAGTTCTACTTGGAGGAGACGATTGTCAGATGGGTGGCTGTCAAAATTAGGGTCCCTTTTTGGATCCCTATTATAATACGGCACCGAATACTTAGGGTACCCCAAAAGGGACCATAATTTTCACAACCACCACCACCCATATCGGTGCTCCCTACGCTCTTTGTTCATACCAGGCGGAAGTTTCGTTCGGCTAGCGGCATTCTGAAGTATTTACATTCTGACATTTTATACTTTAAGACCTTATCAGATGAATACAAAAGAGCAGGGCCGATACCAAATCACGTGGAGTGCCGGAAAGGCATGGGAAAGTACAACACAAGGACAGCAGCCGTTTCTCCAATTTGGCCTTCCAGATGCTGATACGCACTCCCCACCTTCCTGTCTGCCTGCACCCGCCGCTTCCCTCTGTTTGCACACAAATTAGCTTCCTTCGGCTCGCTGGCTCTTGTTCTCGCGGTAGGATTCGTAGATGAAGGGAGCACATTGGCACCTATCAGCTTGTATACCCAATTGAAACCGTCTCACGCAGTGGCACCAGCAAAGAACGCGCTCCCGACAACTCTTGTTTTGCGGCATGGGACGTCTAGTGATTCGACCTACTCCGAGCACAGCTCTCCTCAACCACAATGGGCCATAGCGAGCTTCAGCAGGGTACAGAACCTAGCTATCACCCATAGGTCCTGTCCATGAGGATTGGGTAGGACAACGGTTGGCATTGATGGCCAGAAGGCGCGTGACCATCGATGCGGGTTTTCATTGTTTCATGATTCCGGATGTTTCGATGTTTCTGCAAGCTTGATGCCAGGCGTTGTCGAGGCTGACACGCCCGAGGGGAGCGGTCGGACGCCCGAGTTGCCAGAGATCGTTAGAGTTATGAGCGATGCATGGGTTTCGGAAGCAAACAGTGACGATTTTGGCAGTTTTGGCACTGCTCGGAAGCAGAGGCTTTGCGACTTCTCCGTTGACCGCTCGCTGCCTCTGCCGCTGCTGCCCGCCATATGGTGACGCCCTCAGGTAGTTCGGGTACTGACATCTGTCGAAGCCACACTCCCTGTACAGGCGGCTGATGCACCGCTGGCAACACTGACTGGCACTGTCCAGCCGTCCAAAGAAGCAGACGAAGAGTCAGACTCAGGTGTAGCGGGTGCAGTCTTGTGTTCGCAAAGGGTTGCGCTTGCGATTGCTTGAGTATATTGTCGGAAGACTCGAACGACATACCAAGGCAATCGCAAATCAAAATGCAGTGTGTAGCGACGGCCTGCTTCTCGTTTAGGGTTTTCTGCGCTCGACATGGCTTGACAAAGCCAGGTACCGCGGAAACGCTTCATGTCGTGCCAGCCATCAACACGGATACTGTCGTTATACAGGCCTTTCCAAGACTCAAGACTCAAGTCTTTTGAGCGGTTGCAATGACAATTCTGCCTTTTCTGGCAGCCGCATGTAGCCACATACACACTGTGTCGAGGCAGATCGGGTTGTATCAGGCCCAGTACCGCCAACGCCTTACTAGCCTTATCACAAGGCACCAGGCTGCCGCGCACCTTTTTCTGCTTGCAGGCCCGGTGCTGTGGGGGCTGTCGAGAGCAGCTTGGCTGAATTTGGCCTTCTGCCTTTTGCTCATTCAGGCGTGGCTCTTTCTTCGCTTCTTTTCGTATTGTTTCGTATTGCTTCTTTCAGCCGCCACGACTGGGGCTGTCAGCACTTAGGCATGATCTGCAGAGGCTGGCCACACTCAACAAGGAATGCAGTGTGATTCGGACCAGAAATTTTGGAAGGACCCGATGATGGCGAGCGAGAGCCCTTGTGACCTCTGCGTGTGTGCACGTGTGTGGCAGAGTCTTCGAAAGTCTTCCCTCTCCATCAATATGATTCAATATGTCCGTGTGAGCCATTGTGATCCCAAGTCGCGCATGGGTGTGCGTGAGGCCTCCAGAGGAGGGCTTCTACGGGATCACGTCTTGCTGACATGTTGCACGTGGAAAGAATTGCCAAGACTTGGATCGTTCGGAGAACTCGTTGTAGCGTGAGGCTACCTGTCAAGTCCGCGCTTGACCTGAAGCAAGAAAGGCGCATAGTGACGCAAACCCTCATGCAGCATTCAAGAGAGGTCGAGCTGTATGTTCTCCGGGAGGCTGACCGGATCTGTGACGAAGTACTTGCCTGTCAGTGGCTATGGTATGGTTAAAAGTGCGCCTTCACGACAGTGCAGCTGCTTGCAGCCTTTCCCGTAAGGAACGTTTACCCAACTTGCAGCGCAGGTCACATGTTCGAGGGCGAGCTGATGTTCAGGATAGATCGCGTAATGCCTGAGTTTCAGGCCGGATCCTCATGGGAATTTGAGGCGTGCATGAAGGGACATCGAGTTTTAACAAATCTGTGCCTTTGCCACGTTGTTCCATGTTCAGGCTCATCCTCTACATGAGAATGAAGGGGTGGAGCAGCACCCTTGGTCCCAAGATGTGTTTGTATGGGTTTCGTTTGCAGCGTGGGCTCGCACTGAAGCGAAAGCTCAACAACTTGGCACAACTTGTGCACGTGTTCACGAATGGCTGAAGCTCAGGTTTGATGTTCAGGCCGATGAAAACGGCAAAGCTGTGGCGGTGGCAGTAAAGCCCGTCCTGGGCAGAAAGCCAGTCGCTCGGAGCCTGCTCTTCTGAGAGCGCTTCCCCGCGAACGTTCTGCGAACTAAAGACTGCAGCTTGAGCGAGAGTCGAAAGCGGGGAGTCGCAGCGAGCAGCTGCACCTCCGTCAGTGCATGCGCCGAAGCTTGGGGACGTCCCCAGACTGCTGAGCCTCTAATCGCTTGTCTGCCCTGAATGAACATGCTGAAATATGCAATCATACAGTATCATACTGTGCTGCAGGTCACAGGCACGAAAGGTCAGAGCATGGAATAGTACGGGTATTTGTACATTGAGTGTGGTGAGTTTGCTCAAGGCCTTATGATGTTCTCGGCCAGCGGCACCGTGGTTATGTCAGACGCTTTGCCGAGCGTTGGGGCCTAAATCCAAGAAAGTCAAAAATCAGAAACACAAAATCTTCAAAAACAGCTCCGCGATGAGAGCGGCAGTATGCGGCAGTATGCGGCGCTTCCTAGGCTGGGGCTTCCTCAATGCTGCAGCCTTCGACGGGGACCTTTTTGTTCACCGGGACAATCTCTTGCTGGAGCCTTGCACCTAGATACTTGGGGGAGGGGGAGATCTTGGAGTTGCTTTGGAGCTGAGTGGTGCCTGGTGAACGGGTGAATGGGACCATGCGCTCTAGTACCATGTTGAAGCGTGGTGTGTCGTCCCTGTCTGCTTCCCGAACTAGTGGAATTCAAAAGGCCTGGCTCCGAGACTGGCGCAGATGGTCAGCCCATTCTGCGGACGGCATCTCGCATCATCTTGCTTTCTTTTTCTTTTTTTTCTGTTTGCAACGGGCTAGATTCGGCCATTTCGGCTTGATATTCTTTGTTGCATACCTTTCGCACAGGGCAGTGTTCAACCAAGGGGCAAGTTGTTGAGTTCGACGTCGCGCTGGATGATCGCGGCAGGGCTGCTCGTGCCTGAGTTGTGATGTGACCTGCATGAGTGGTTCAAACTACTCTGCAGCATTCAGGGATCCCTTTGATTCGAATGTTTATGCAAAGTACTTCTGTGAGTCTTGAGGTGGCTAAGCAAATCACGACACGAGCTTTGCTGAGACCTGGTGACTGGATTGGTCACAGGTGCTTGATTGCACTTCATACAGAAGTTGTATTCACGATGTCTGTCCAAGCTATTTAGTTCCAAAAAGCTGGCTGCTTGAAGGCTGCGGGGCTACATACGGTCCTTTCAGGGTGCAGGGGCCCAAGACTTTGCGATCTGACTTCAGAAGTGGAATGGTGGCCCGTGCTGGTGAACATTGGTGAACACCACGCGGCGTAGGCCATATTGGGATGCCTAGGCAGCCTGCAGCTCTTGAACCGCTATGATTCCCTATCGGCTTCATTTTGCCTTGCAACCATCAAGTCGCGCCAAACTCGATGCAAAGCATGGCAAAGCTCCCGTGCCTGCAGCCCTTCTCTCTTATGCTACTGGCGTGGTGATACTCTGTAGTGCCCTCTTGATGAAGGCACTGCTATGTACTGCAGCTTCGTAGTAAAGCTCTCGTGGGCTTTGGAGGGATGGCAGATAAACTCCAAACTCCAAGCTCCCGCGTCCAAACAGTTTGGAGGGCGAGTGGTAGGGTCTGGTTGGGTTCAGGCGCTGCGAGACCTCGTCAATTGTCCCTGCGTGTTGGATGTTCCCCGTGTACATTGGTGCTCTTGGAGCTCTTCAGTGAGGCCTGGGGCTTCATCAACTCAGACCGATTTGCTGGTGATCTTTTTGTGCATCGAGACTCTCTGTTAGCCGGGAGCTCGGAACGAGAATATTCAGAGGGATTGGAGAGCTGAGAGAACTTTGTATTGTGCAGTCTCAGAATCACTAAATATGAATCAGAATAGACAGTATTCGGAAACCTATAGACCCCTATGCCCTTTCGTCTATGTTCTTGATAACCTGCATGCGTGTTCAGCTTCAATACACGTGACCGACTGTATGGCAGAGATCTCTCCTCTGGAATTGGATTAGGGTTAAGGGGTCCTAATAGGGTTTAGGGTTTTGGGGTCTTTAGGGTTATGGTTTTTTCGGGTTTAGGTTGTTTTTAGAGTTTTTAGGGCTTTTTTAGGGTTTAGGGTCTTTTGAGGGTTTAGGGTTTAGGGGCTTTTTGGGGTTTAAGGGTTTTTAGGATGTTTTTAGGGTTTAGTTTTTTTGGGTTTAGGGCTCCGGGGTTTTTAGGGCTTAGGCCTTAGGGGTTTTCAAGGTGTAAGGTGTAGGGTTTTTTCAGGGTTTAGGGTTTTTCAGGGTTTAGGAATCAGGGTGTTTTTTAGGGTTTAGGGGTTTTCAGGGTTTAGGGTTGTTTCAGGTTTAGGGGTAAGGGGTTTTCAGGGTTTAGGGCTTGGGCGTTTTTCGGGTTTAGGGTTGTTTGGGTTTGGACTTTGGGGGCTTTAGGGTCTAGGCTTTTTTGAGGCTCAAGGGTTTTCATGGATTGTTGGCTCAGGTTTTTTTAGGGTTTAGGGTTTTTGGGGTTCAGGGGGTAGGTGATTTTAGGGTTTAGGGCTCAGGGCTTTTTAGGGTTCAGGGCTTAGGGTTTTTAGGATTTAGGGTTGACGGTGTTTTTAGGGTTTGGGGTTTAGGGTTTAGGTTTAGGTGTTTTTCATTTTAGGGTTTATGGTCTTCATGGTTTAGGGTTTTGTTAGGGTTTAGGGTTTAGGCTCTAGGGTTTCTTGAGCGTTTAGGGTTTAGGGTTTTTAGGGTTTAGGGGCTTTTAGGGTTCAGGGTTCAGTGCTTTTTTGGAGTTTAGGCCTTAGGGATTTTGCGGGTTTAGGTTTTAGGGGTTTTTAGGGTTTAAGGTTTAGGGTTTTTCAGGGTTTAGGGTTTAGGGTTTTTCAGAGTTTCCCATTTGCCAACACAACGCTCGCAGGTTTAGAGGTTTTTAGGGTTTAGGGTCGACGGTGTTGTTACGGTTTGGGGTTTGGGGTTTAGGTTTTGGTGTTTTTTTTCTTATATGGTTTCAGGTTTTCAGGGTTTAGGGTTGAGGGTTTTGTTAGGGTTTAGGGTTTAGGCTTTAGGGTTTCTTGAGCGTTTAGGGTTTAGGGTTTAGGGTTTTTAGGGTTTAGGGGCTTTTAGGGTTCAGGGTCAGTGCTTTTTTGGAGTTTAGGCCTTAGGGATTTTGCGGGTTTAGGTTTTAGGGGTTTTTAGGGTTTAAGGTTTAAGGTTTTTCAGGCTTCAGGGTTTAGGGTTTTTCAGAGATTAGGGTTTGAGTTTTTTTGGGTTTAGGGTTTTACGGCTTAGGGGGTTTTAGGGTTTAGGTTTTTTCGGGGTTTAAGGATCAGGAGTTTTTAGGGTTGAGGGCTTATGGTTTTTAGGGTTGTAGGGTTTAGGGTTTTTTAGGGTTTAGGGGTTTTCAGGGTTCGGGGCTTAGGGATATAAGGGTTAGAAGGTTTTTAGGCTTTGTGGCTTAGGGGTTTACAGGTTTTTTGGGTAGGGATCTGTCTGAAAGGGATCGGGGTCTCGCGGCCGAAATAGCCGGGGAACACGCACATGCTGGGTTCAAAAAAAGCGGGGGGGGGGTTGGGGGGGGTGGGCGCAGCCTCCCCCATTTGCAAACACAATGCTCGCGTGATGGGTTTGCAAACAACAAAAATTCTGAAGCAAGCTTGCGCGGCTTAACAAGCGGGGGAGGGGGTTGGGGCAGCCCCCCTCCCATTTGCCAACACAACGCTCGCAGGTTTAGAGGTTTTTAGGGTTTAGGGTCGACGGTGTTTTTACGGTTTGGGGTTTAGGGTTTAGGTTTTGGTGTTTTTTTTTATATATGGTTTCGGGTTTTCAGGGTTTAGGGTTGAGGGTTTTGTTTGGGTTTAGGGTTTAGGGTTGAGGGTTTCTTGAGGGTTTAGGGTTTCGGGTTTTTGGGGTTTAGGGGTTTTTGGGGTTTAGGGGTTTTTAGGGTTCAGGGTTCAGTGCTTTTTTGGAGTTTAGGCCTTAGGGGTTTTTCGGCACTTAGTATAATACAATTCTATTGTTAGGAAAGCATTACAATCTTTATTTGATAATTTCCAGTCCTTCCCTAATAATACAAATAAAGGGGAAAAGAGAATGAAGAACATGAACGTAATAAAGGCATGTGATGAAAGGGCCTAATTTTATAGTAGTAATTTATAAGGCCCTAAAATGCGCTAGTTTCCGCGATCACAGTGTTCAACTCATTCTGTATTATTATAATGCGTTTCACTTCCCTTAATAATATATTTGTAAATGAGTTGAAACAAGTGAGCGAGAGAACGAACTTCCAGAAATTAAAATTGCGTGCTCATTTCATTCGCCTGGAAAATACAAAATACTATGCTCATTTCCTTGGGGTTTTGTTCTCTTCTCTTTATTCACACGCGGGAATATTATTATTATAGCTACGAAGAGAATACAATTTAATGTTAAATGCAAAGAAATTTAATGTATGCGCGATTTAATATTAAGTGTATGAACGCAGTACACGAAGTCAATTAAAAGGGGTTTAAGGATGAGGAGTCTTTAGGTTGAGGGCTTAGGGTTTTTAGGGTTGTAGGGTTTAGGATGTTTTAGGGTTTAGGGGTTTTCAGGGTTCAGGACTTAGGGTATTTTGAGGGTTTAGGATAAAGGCTTCATGGCTTAGGGGTTTACAGGGTTTCTTGGGTAGGGACCTGTCTGAAAGGGATCGGGATCTATCGCGGCTGACATAGCGGGGGGAACACGCGCATGCTGGGTTCAAAAAAAGTGGGGGGCGGGGGCTGGGGGGGGTGGGCGCAGCCTCCCGCATTTGCAAACACAATGCTCGCGTGATGAGTTTGCAAACAACAAAAATTCTGAAGCAAGCTTGCGCGGCTTAACAAGCGGGGGAGGGGGTTGGGGCAGCCCCCCTCCCATTTGCCAACACAGCGCTCGCAGGTTTAGAGGATTTTAGGGTTTAGGGTCGACAGTGTTTTTACGGTTTGGGGTTTAGGGTTTAGGTTTCGGTGTTTTTTTAAAATATGGTTTCGGGTTTTCAGGGTTTAGGGTTGAGGGTTTTGTTAGGGTTTAGGGTTTAGGGTTGAGGGTTTCTTGAAGGTTTAGGGTTTCGGGTTTCTGGGGTTTAGGGGCTTTTAGGGTTCAGGGTTCAGTGGTTTTTTGGAGTTTAGGCCTTGGGGATTTTTCGGGTTTAGGTTTCAGGGGTTCTTAGGGTTTAAGGTTTAGGATTTTTCAGGGTTTAGGGTTTAGGTTTGCAGGGTTTAGGGTTTACGGCGTTTTAGGGTTTAGGGTTTGGGTTTTTTTAGGTTTTACGGCTTAGGGGGTTTTATGGTTTAGGTTTTTTCGGTGTTTAAGGATCAGGATTTTTCGGGGTTGAGGGCTTAGGGTTTTTCGGGTTGTAGGGTTTAGGGTTTTTTGGGGTTTAGGGGTTTTCAGGGTCCAGGGCTTAGGGTATTTTGAGGGTATTTTGAGGGTTTAGGATATAGGGGTTTGGAGGTTTTTAGGCTTCATGGCTTAGGGGTTTACAGGGTTTCCTGGGTAGGGACCTGTCTGAAAGGGATCGGGATCTATCGCGGCTGACATAGCGGGGGGAACACGCGCATGCTGGGTTCAAAAAAAGGGGGGGGGGTTGGGGGGGGTGGGCGCAGCCTCCCCCATATGCAAACACAATGCTCGCGTGACGGGTTTGAAAAACAACAACAATTCTGAAGCAAGCTTGCGCGGCTTAACAAGCGAGGGAGGGGGTTGGGGCAGCCCCCCTCCCATTTGCCAACACAACGCTCGCAGGTTTAGAGGTTTTTAGGGTTTAGGGTCGACAGTGTTTTTACGGTTTGGGGTTTAGGGTTTAGGTTTCGGTGTTTTTTTAAAATATGGTTTCGGGTTTTCAGGGTCTAGGGTTGAGAGTGTTGTTAGGGTTTAGGGTTTAGGGTTGAGGGTTTCTTGAGGGTTTCGGGTTTCGGGTTTTTGGGGTTTAGGGGGTTTTTAGGGTTCAGGGTTCAGTGGTTTTTGGAGTTTAGGCCTTAGGGATTTTTCGGGTTAAGGTTTTAGGGGTTTTTAGGGTTTTAGGTTTAGGTTTTTTTCAGCGTTTTGGGTTTAGGGTTTAGGGCTTAGCAATTTTCAGGGTTTAGGGTTTAGGGCTTTTTGGGGTTTAGGGTTTGAGGAATTTGCGGGTTTACGGCTTAGGGGGTTTTAGGGTGTAGGTTTTTTTGAGGGCTTAGGGGTTTTGTAGGGTTTTTAGGGTTCAAGGGTTGAGGGTTTGTTTTGGGTTTAGGGTTTAGTCTCTCCATCCGGTGCAGGGGGAGGGGGGGGGGTGGAGGGCGCGAACCGCGAACCGCAAGCCTTCTGACACGAACCGACATGCAACCGATTCCTGCAGGATCCGCCGAACCGAAACGACACTGAACGAACCGAAGATTAAGAATTAAACGGTTGTAAGAAAGCATTATTTGGGGGAAGGTCCGAGGCCATTTAACATCCTAAAAACCCTTAAAGTCCTGACAATGTTCAATTGGCTTGGACCCTCCCCCCAAAATAATGTATTATCTTTCAAGACTCCATAAGAACTTTAAGGGACCTTTAGCATTTTTTGAAGAGCCATCATTAAAATCCTGAAGTGCCTCAAAAGTTTGAAAGATATGAAAATTGTTCAGGGGGAAGGCCTGAGGCCAGTTAAAATCTCAAAAACCCTTTAGGTCCTTAAAATGTTGAAAGCGCAGGCCTTTCAAAATGTGAAAAGTCCTATGAAGTTCCTTAAAATCGTTAACATGCTGCAATTTTGAAAGCCACAGACCTTTTCAAAACATTACGAAGTTTAAGGATTTTAGGGGTT